CACCTGGATGTCATCCGCAAAGGCATGACAAACAAATCCGTGGGAACTGATTATTTTTATTATATCTGATGTATAAAGCAGAAACAGGATGGGTCCCAGTACAGATCCCTGCGGCACCCCCGATGAGACCAACGATACATCTGACACTGTGTTTTTAAAAGCGACCTGTTGTGTACGATTTTTGAGATATGACCTGAACCAGTCACGGGCAACTCCAAGAACACCATAACTGCACTCCAATCTCTTTATAAGCATGTTATGATCCACACAATCGAACGCTGCTGACATATCAAGGAATGATAGTACCGATATGTTTTGAACCTCAGCTGCAGCAAACAAACTTGATAAAACATATAACAAAGCTGTTTCGGTGGAATGGAACCGTCGATACCCAGATTGATACCTTGGCATAAGATCGTTGTCTGTTAAATATTTCAGTAGAAACCCATTTACAACACGCTCCAGCACCTTAGATAGAAATGGTAGGTTAGAAATTGGTCTGTAGTTTCCAATTTCCCCGTCATCGCTGCCGACTTTTTTCAGAATCGGAACAACTGTGGCATGCTTGAAATAGTCTGGCACTATGCCTTTTTTTAAGCAGAGATTTATGAAACTAGTTAGAAAACTTATAAAAAACTTTAGATATTTCTTAAAAATGTGTGTTGGCATGATATCAAGTGAACAAGTTTTAGACGGAGAGTCAAGTATAATCTTCACAAGGTCCTCCTCAGCGATTTCAGGGAATGATGTCAATGCAACAGTTGGTGACTCTCTATCTTCTAATAACGAGGTTGAAACACTAGATGAATTAACAGAATGCACAATCTTTGCAATCTTATCTGTGAAAAATTTCATAAAATCACCAGCTGTATGATTGACATTAGCATCCAATAAATTTTCACTTCGATCATTGCATAAGATTTTATTTATAATTCGCCACCGGTCCTTTTGGTTGCCACAGGTTTTTATCAAATTGTTCCAATACCCACAGCGTTTATCTGAATATAATTTGTATTTTGTCTTCAATGAACCAAGCCAATTTTCACGATGAACATTTGATAAACTTCTTCTATACAATCTCTCAAGTTTTCTGCAATATCGTTTGACCCGTAGGCAATCATCATCAAACCATGATACATTTCTATCAATTCTTTTGCAAATCACTCTTAGCGGCACACATCGGTCAACAATGCCTTTTAATTCCATATTGAACAATTTTAATTCATTCTCAACATTTTCACTTTTGCATGGTCCAGATATTGGAGAATTTGCAATTGACTGAACAATCTGATCTTCATCCACATTTCTCCACAATCTTACTGTCTGTTTGGTTGTTACACATCTATGAGCAATTGATGCCTCAACCTTTACAAAACCATGATCTGAAAATATTCCACTTGGAAATATTTCAACTCCCAAAATCGGAAAATTGCTTGAACTAATAACCAGATCAAGAATACCACCTTGCTCGTGAGTTGGTTCATGTACATGACTGATCATTTGAAATGCATATATATATATATATATATATATATATATATATAAAGAGAGAAAGGGAGAAAAGAAAATGAAAGAGAGAGAGAGAGAGAGAGAGAGAGAGAGGAAAGAGTAGTGAAAAGATAAGTGAACTTTCAACACATTTTTGAAAACATTTTGAAAAACTTTTCCAAGTGAAAAACCAATAAATCCATCATAATCAAAGAAAAACAACAACAAAAAGACATCAACGCAGACACTAACATCAAAGACAACAAAACAACAACAACAAAAACTCTTACTTATTGTTGTTGTTGCTGTTGTTGGTGGTGGTGTTGAATTGTTAACAAGGACGACTTATCGTTATATCTACAACGAAAAACAACAACAACATTAACAACAACAACAACAATAATTATCATCTACCATATCAACAACTCAAACTACACTAACAACATCAATTACAACAGCATTAATTGCATTAACAAGAGGCAACATAATTTATAAAATTTAACAACAACAACAACAACACCTTAAAAATAACATCGCAAACAACAGCAATGGTTTTTACATCAAAAAAAAAAACTTTTCAATTTTGCCAGCAAAAATATTTTTTTGTGAAAAATGATCAAAGGTAGGAGCAACCTGCAAACGTCAGGTCGGGGCAAAAAAGAAAAGGAAACATTCTGACAAATAAGTCAAGAAATCTTCATCTTGAATAAATTATACATCATCACCATCATCAACTCATTATCGTCGTCATCATCATTATTTTTTTCCCAATCATTTATTTGTTAAAAAAGAAAATCACTAGGAGATCTAAAAGAAAAATAACTTGTGCAGACCGCCTTAATTAAAATGCAACTGAGTGAATGTCATAGCAAGAAAAAATAAAAAATAAAAAATTTTACCACGTTTATGCAATTGTCTAAAACATTTATATAATAGTAACAAAAATCATAACCAAAAATCACCACCATCATCATCGTCATCATCGTCATCATCATCATCATCATCATTGTCATCATCTTTCATAACGTATAAGGTAAAATAGCTTCGCTTATAACTTAATATAATAAAAATCGAAATGCTTTTCTGTTGTGTGTGTGTATGTGTGTGTGTGTGTGTGTGTGTGTGTGTGTATGTATGTATGTGTGTGTATGTGAGTGTGTTTGCAAGTAAGCGGGTATTATAATACTGAAAGTGACATCATTGATTTCCGGGCATTTATTTTTTATTCAGTTTGAAATGAAATTAGCGAATTACGCACGCACACGCGCACACGCGCACACACACGGATACACGCACACACACAACACACACACAACACACACATGTTTGCACGACATGATTTATGTGAAGGACAATTTATGAATACCATTAAGTAGTTTGAATTGTTTTTTTCCAAATGTTATCGAATATTTGTGAATATTTTCAAATGTTTTTTAATGTTTTTCTAATATTTCAATAAATTCGTCTCCCAAATATTTCAAATTTTTCACATTTTTAAACCCGTTAAAACAAACGCATTGAGAGATATGAACGATGATGATGATGATGATGATGTCTTTGACAATGATAACGATGATGACAATGTTAATGATGATGACGTTGATGATAACAACGTCAATGAAGATGATGATGATGATAAGGATTCAATTTATTAGGAAAAATAAAAAATAAAAAAAATGAAGGTATGAAGATGTTGGCCTGGTAAAGCGAACCACTCTTATAATTATATCATCTTAATTTAGGATCGGACCCATTATAGATCAAAAGATAATTATATATATATATATATATATGTGCGTGTGTAAGTATTATTATTAATTGTATAATACAATACAATACAATGCCATACAATGCCATACAATACAATACAATACAATACGATGCGATACGATACGATACAATACAATATAATACAATACAATAAAACACAATACAATACAATACAATACAATACAATTCAATACAATACAACACAACACAATAAAATATAGATTATGTAGTGTTATATTTCATATAAGTATAACATAATTAAGTATACAATCGTACGAATACATCATTTCAAATTGCAATGCTGTTAATTGGATATAGAAATGATATAAGATGATATTCAAATGATATTGTGGATATCATTATGTGCCATTATTTATCATTATGTATCATTATATATCACCATATATCATTGCGTATCATTATATATCATTATGCTATTGTGGATATCATTATGTGCCATTATTTATCATCATGTATCATTATATATTATTGCGTATCATTATATATCATTATTTTGTCTACATTTGTGTTTGATACGATGCATATGGCTAATAAGTAGTCATTAAATCACTCCTCTATCTTTCAAACGGTCCGACTAATTAGACGTTCAATTCATTCTTTGATAGTTCTTTTTTATATTTAAAAAATTATTTTCACGTTCATTCACACACTCGTTCATTCTTCCATGCTAACCATACGTCTATCATTCAATTTTTTTCTTTACCTCATATGGTATGATTAATAGTCTCTTAAAAGGTTTTTTTTGTGATTATGATGGTTTCTGCAACATCTCAACGTCTATTCTTAGCTTTCGTGTTGTGAATGTTTCTGAGAGATATGTAGCGTCTTTCTTGAGTTGCCTGGAAAATGCTTTTAAAATTTGACAAAAAGTACATTATTTACAACAGTCAGCCTAAAAAAGTAATGCATAAACACCGACTGACGTTACGCTTGCGTTTGAACCAGGACTCTGTGATGTATTAGTATGAGGACGCGTTTTTTTCAGAAAAAAATTGTATTTTCCATAAACAATGTCGTTAACGACAGCATAAAAACAACAAAATCGTGACATCTTCAGCTAAATAAACAACACAAATTTAAAAACTACTTTCCTGAGAAAGTAGACAACAACAACAACAACAACAACAACAACAACAATAAACAATGACGAGGATGATAATAAAATATTATCTTTATTATCATTAATAGTTCTTCCTTAATTAATTCAACAACACGTTTCAACAAAACGTACAAAGAGAATAACGCGCGAATCCATGCGGCAGTGAAGATGGCAGCGTAGCAACAACCCACAACTTACACGACATGACGTCTTTGAATATTTATGACGTCATAAACGAACATTACCTTACTGTTATTATTATTATTATTATTATTATTGATATTTACTTAATAGAAAGAAAACTCAAAAATCATTTTTGAGACGAAAATACAAATTCATTAGTCTAAATCAACACACATCTGCTGCTGAAGTAACTAAAAAAAAATGCATCACTATGATGTCTGTCACGGACAAATAGTAACTCTGATGAAAACCCATTTGTTTGGTGTTGGTCTCAATTTAATAAAATATTCATGTAATTTATACTATACAATTGCGTTATAAAACACATACGTACATACAAACACACACATATAAAAACACACACACACATACAAACACACACACATACATACGTAAACACATACAAAAACACATATATGCATACATACATAACAGTTACATGGCCTCCAAATTTAAGGACTCACTGAAAAAAGCTTCGGAAGTAATAATTTTAAAATGGGGTTTAGGTACAAGCCACACACTACCACTACTACTAGCGTTGACTACTGCTATTACTTTTGTGGTGATTGAATTTTTTTAAAATAATTTCTTAACAGGTGACGGGGGTTATGACCCAGGGTCGATGTGACGGTTACGAGTGGGTATCCAGGTACAAAGTCTCCTACAGCAAGGATGCCGTACATTGGGACTACGTTCGGGATAGGAATAACAACTACAAGGTATTTCGATTTAAAGGATGTTACAATTTTCGTGGTATTTTGATTACAGGGTATTTTGATTTACATGGAATTTCGATTTACAGGGTATTTTGATTACAGGGTATTTCATTTGCAAGGTATTTTATTACAAGTAATTTTTTTAATCATTCGGTATTCTTAATTAAAGTGCATTTTTGTGTGTTTTTTGTAAGGTGCGGTTTAAAATATATCACACATTTATTAATTCTTCAACAACATTGTAATCTAGACATGGTTTAAAAATGTGTCATTTGCTAAAAGTAAGAACGTTGTACTTTGTAACGATACGATACGACCCCTTAAACGAGACGAGAAATTTGAGATGAATTGTTTGGTTTTAATTAGTTTCAATCTTTTCACACACTATTAATTATAATATTCTTATATGCTTCAAGTTAATTGTTCGCCAGTTCTTTAGGAGTAACTCTCTATTTGATTTCATTTATTTGATTGAGATAAATGTTTTTAAAAAAGATGCGGTACTTTTGAAGAAAATTTTTGAGACAAACTTGACTGTGTGAACATGTCTGTTGTTTATGGTAAAAATTTTTAAAAGTTGTTTCCTTGTTCATACTCTCATGTGTTCACTTCACTCCTTTGCTTGTTCGCTTGTTTGTTTGTTTGTTTATTCGTTTGTTAACGTGTCTGTTCTTACTTATTCAATCATCATCTTCTTCTTCTTCCTTCTCTTCATCTTCTACTTCATCATCATCATCATCATTGTCATCATCATTGTCATCATCAACAACATCATCATCATCATCCTCCTCCTCCTTCTTCTCCTCCTCATCATCATCCTCATCATCATCATCATTCTCCTCTTCATCATCATCATCATCAACATCATCATCAAAATCATCATCATCATTTTTTTCATCATCTTCAACTGTCGTCTCGTTTCTTAAACAATGTAGATTCTCCCATGTAAACATGAGAATGCACGGGAGATTGAATGATGACGACGACGATGATAACATCTTTCAAATTTCGACGCTCCCCCATTGCATTCTCATCATTATTGTTTTCGTTGTTATTATTTTTTCGTTTATGTGTGTATTTTTATACATGCGTGTATGCGTGTGTGTACGTGCCTGTGTGTGTGTACGTGCGTGCGTGTGCGCGAGTGTGTGTGTGCATTTGCAAGTGAAATAAAATATAGATAAATCATATTCGATCTTGATACACAGATTGGCTGTTCGTCATATCTTTATCTGATCGGGACATTAAGGATAACTGAATCTATGTTTGTTTGTGTGTTAGTGTGTGTGTGTTTTTGTGTGCGTGTGTGTGCGTGTTGTATGTGTGTGTGTGATTGAGATGTTAAGGGTAACTAAATCTATGTTTGTTTGTATGTGTGAGTGTGCGCCCGTGTGTGTTAGTGTGTTAGTGTTAGTGTGTTAGTGTTAGTGTGTGTGTGTGTGTGAAATTGTGTGTGTATGTGAGCGTGTATGTTCGTGTGTTCGTGGAAGGCAGGTTGGTCTCGTTGTAATGAAAAAAATGAGAGACAACATTGCATTGTTATTGGCACCGCTAGATAAAACAATAGAAATAATAAAAATAATAATTAATTAAATAAATAAAAATAATAACAGAAAATGTTTATAAATTAAATTTTCCACTCATCTGAAGTTTCATTCAAATGGTATATCGAAAATCTAAAAGCTGGGTGAATGCATGCCAATGAAGAGATATGCCGGTAAATGGATGAATTGGCTAATTGATTGAGTGAATGAATAAATGAAGAAATTGTTTGACGGGTGATTGAATGAACTGGTTGATTGATGGATGGATGATTGAAAGGTTGAACAAAAAATAAAAGTCTAACAACTCGGACCAAAAACATAATTACCTACTCACCAATTGTTGGAATGGATCACGTACCTGACGTGTTCACAGTTTCATTCAGTGCAGTCTTCTTAACGCCAACACACTCACACATACACACACACACAAACACTGACACACACGCACACATACAAATTTGCATACACCAAACTTTGATACCAATACTTATACAAACACAGACAGACACCAATATATACATGTTTACATGCACGTAGGTGTGAATGTACATTCGCAAATAGAAATTCGTCGGGTACAGATTGGTGTACAACACTTTGATGTGTACGTACATGTACGTGTAATTAGTGATGTACGCTAACACGTACCTGCAAAAATCTGTTGAACTCACATGCTCACAGACACAGAAAGACAAATACAAATACAAAAAGCGTACGTTCACACATACATGATAATACAAAAACCAAACAGATGAAATTATTTACATATAAACCTACCTATGTAGAAGCAACAAAGAAACGTTTGTTGGCATACATGCACGTCTAGGCATGCAAAAGCATCCTGTTATACTGAAACACACAAACAAATACACACATATAAACAAAAATGTGCAAACACACACTCACATTCACACATTTTTGTCGGCTAAAGATTCAGGTCAACATGTACAGTTAGGTGAACATGAGTCAACGAGCGGGAAATGAAACAAATATTGTTTTGAAGGTAAATTCTTTTTTTACAATCTGAAAAAAATGGATTTTTTTGTAGAAGTCTGGACTTCAAGCTTATAAGGTTACTTGTGCATGCAACTTGTGCACTTGAACAATCAACATCAACAGAAAGAGAAACAACAATGAGAACAATTGCAACATGCAACTGCAACATGCAACCGCAACATGCAACTGCGAAGATAACAAATAGAAACGACGAAGAAGAACCAGATAGATGACTTCAAAGAATGCTTACAACAACAACCAACTTCAAGTTTTATTTCAACAATAAATTGATCAACATTCAAAGAAATATGAACATATAAAGACATATTTAAACGAACATCAACACAATCATATATAGGGAAACACATAAACACACACAAACACAGAAACATAGGAACATAGACAAAGGTACAGAAACATACAGAGATAGATAAACCTATTTTATAGATAGATAAATGTACGCCATCATAAAAAACATACTGAACTGAAACACTAACCAAGCTCACACAGTTAAAAAAACACACACAAACATAAAAACATACACAAACACACACAGACAAAGAGACATACACAGACACGTACAAACAAGGAGACATTCAAAAAAACATACACAGACACGCACAAACATAAAGACAGCCAACTGACCAAAGCAAACCAACTAGCATTAAACATCAGGACCAACCAAGAACCATCAGTCAACATCCTCTCCTTCATTCTTCATTCCACAAACTCCTCAACCAACACTTCCATTTACATGCATGTACAAATGATTAAGTGTACAAATAAATAACTATACGCACACGTACACACACGGGCTTCAACACGTGCCTAGAAACCTTTGGATAATAAAATATTTAATTATATTTAAATATATTCCACAGGGAGTGCATGCATGTTGGGCGCGCACGCACACACACACCACACACACACACACGTGCACACACACACATACAAAATTACGCACAAGTATGAGAAATAACAATAGTTACGTACGTGTTAGAATCGTAAAAAATTATTGTTTGTACGTTTCCTGGGAGGAACATGTGATCCTACTTAAATACAATTGACGGCATCATTATGTGAACATCTGCTGCTTGTACGTACATTCATCTTTGAAAGTGAATAGAATAAATTTGTATTTGTAAAATAAATAAAATAAAATAAATCTAGCGAAAAAGCACTTAAGGCGCAGTTTATGTAGCGATTTCTAACCACTTTTACTATCACTAAAGAGTCTTTGATGATTATTGTCGCTAGTGATTCTGACCTTTTTTATTACGTGAACAAGTAGTTGAAGACCACTTCTGACCAACCACTGATGTTACTGGCCTACTACTTAACAACTGCTAACTTGATGGAGAGCAGTAAAAAAAGACTTAAAGTACTATCTCAAAATATCGTAGTGGTTTTTAAAACGGGCTTTTAAATTTTACACTGACATCTGACCGAATGAATGATGCCGTAATGACTTGGAATAAAAATTTGAATTAAGTAATAGATATTGAAAAATGAATGAATGAATGAATGAATGAAACTAACAAACGAACGAACGAACAAACAAACAAATGAATAAATGAACATGAACATATGCTAGATGAAACAAATTTTTACCAAAGGGTTAACGCAAATTCAATTTTAAGATATCTGCCGCTCTTCCTATCAGAAATAGTTTCTGGTTTAACCTCCGTTTTGGCTTACTTTCTTATTTTTATTTTTTATTAATTTATTTAATGGTTTTATCAGAAATTTTTTTTAATTAAGTCCTCCATACGACATTGATGAACATGCTGGTACCAAAGAAACGACAGCTGGTGCTGTTTTTATCCAGCTAAGAATTTTTATTCTTTACTGTTCTTTTATTTTCGGCTGATTTATATTTCATATGAAATAATAATATTCTTCTTCATGGCTTGCCGGAAAAAGGTCATAAATCACGCATTCCTAATTAACAAATGATCTCGGATAATTGTAAACATCTATCCGTCTATCTACACACACACACAAACAAACACACATACACACGCACGCACTACACACACAAATTCATACACAGATACACACACACACACATGCACACACACACATTCACACATACACGAATCTATGTACAAATCAAATACACACACACAGGCACACATCACTACACACACACGCACGCACTGCATACGCACGCACACACACACACACACATACATTTTATACACACATCCTCTGCACTTAAAAACGTAAACACACTTTCATACATACACATACACAACACATACATATACAACAAACTTATATTTATACATACTCATATCACATATATGTTCATTAGTTTTGTATACACCCAACATCCATACAACTTTATACACAAAATTCAATCTAGATATCGGTACGTATTAATTTTAATTTAAAGAGATTTATTAATATAGATGATTAAATAAATATATTTAACATTGGATAGATAAAAACCAAACAAATATACAAAAAATACAAACACAAAACCCGAAATTGATAAACAATGATGAAATTGAGACCAAAAAATTGAAATCATTCATCACACATTTAAACAAAAAAAAAGAACACACACTGATATGACAGACGAGTTGTAACATGGAAAATAAAAATTACTAATGCATCATAAAGGACCGCATCACTCCTATTCATACTTCCACACCCATCAATGCTTTTATATTTTTGCATGTAAATTTGCAGGTTTATGACCTTAACATAAACATGCCATTTTAAATGTATACAATTTACTGTTCAAGCAGGCTTGCGCGCGCACACACACACACGCGGACAAACACACACACAAACACACACACACACATTACCCAACTAACATAAACAATAAACGTACACAAATCAGTTTACAAATTTTAAACATGACAGTTAAACGCAGTTAAACGTCTGATACCTATCGACAAAAATTTAGAAAACATTACACATACACAAACACACACGTACGTACGCACACACATAAACACATACACACACACACACGCACATAGATAAACGCACACATATGCACAACACACAAATATATATATATATATTTACGTGTGATGATGAAAATTTCATAGATTAGTTATGGTTTAAATTAGTAATTTAATCTTACTGCACCGCTTGGTTTTAACTTTTTTGTTTTTCAATGAGTGTATAATTACAGCACTTATTAATGTATCTTTTGATTCTTTAAGGAAATGTTTTAACATGGAAATGTGCACGCTCCATGTGTGAATGCACGTGTAAATTCACTTACACACACATCCACACACGCACGCACACACACACGCACACTCACAAACACACACACATACACAAGATGTCTGTTATATAATGATAGTTAGTAGCCATGATGTGGTTATAAATAAATCAAAGAAACAGTTGTCTATGCAGTCGGTCGTCCAGTTGTCTTGTGTTGACCGCTTGCTGCATTTGCACCGTCAGGATGTTTGTTGTTTTTAGTTAATTTGTTATGACGTTTCTATTACGGATTGTATATTGTTTTTTGATTTTGTAGTGGATGATGCTCTGTGTGTAGTTGTGTGTGGGAGTGTGTGGTTGCGTGTGGTTATGTTTGGTTGTGTGTGGTTTTGTGTGGTTGCGTGTGGTTATGCGTGGTTTTGTGTGGTTTTACGTGGTTGTGTGGTTATGTGTGGTTGCATGTGGTTGTGTGTAGTTTGTGGTTTTGTGTGGTTGATGTGGGTGTATGTGGTTGTGTGTGGTTATGTGTGATTGTGTGTAGTTGTGTGTGGTTTTGTGTGGTTGCGTGTGATTGTGTGTGGTTTTGTGTGGTTGCGTGCGGCTGTTGTGGCTTCTGCTGCATGTTTTGTTGTCAGCCGTTTTCAGATTTCGAATTTTCAACTCCTGTTAAATACATTAGCTGCCTCGTTTTCGTTACACTCTCAATAATGTCCATAGCGGTTAATTCACATCAGTCCCTCCTTCAACTCTTAAGTAAAACAAATCAACAAAAACGATTATGAAAATTATGAATGATCTAAAAAAATTATCAGCAACTTTTTTCTGGAATGGTTGGAGCATGTTGAGGTATGAAGGGCTTGTCATTTCATTTCTCCATCAACAAGTTGTCCTTTTTAGTATACAGTCATAAATCGGCTCCATTCAAATGTTTTTTTTTATCTTGTTACATCTTCTTTCAACTGCGCTATTGTTGATTGGGCAGATATTTCCTGAATGTAGCAAGAACAATAGGATGAATTCGACACAGATATAATGTTATCATCGCTTATTGTATTCCCATCTCGATACCCAATAAACCCGGATAATTAACCTGTTTTCTGCATTTCAGAGCCTTCAGAGAGGATGTATGTACGTTCAGTGGATAGATGTACGGCAGCGTTTACACTTCAATCCATCTACCAACTCCACACAGTACAACACAACGCAGGCCGTATCATCACGTCTGTATATCAAATGTTACCTTCGTAACTTTGGAATGCATATAACAACAAGCACATTTCTTTTTCTCTTTCACTCTATTTTTCTTTCTTTATTTCTTTCTCTTTTTCCAACAATCATTCACACACGCACACGCACACGCACACACACACACACACACTCACTCACACTCACACATACACACTCACACACAAACACAGACACACATGCATACTACCTACATACCTTACAAGAAAACTTATTTGCCAACAAACTGTTGCCGATTTACAGAACTTGTAAAATCTCTCGTAACGTGATGTGATGTGATTTCATGTGATGTAATAATGGTGTAATGTTATTTAATGTAATTTTGTTCGCTCGTTCGTTCATTCATTCGTTCATTCATTCATTCATGCATTCATTCATTCATTCATCGATCCATCCTCCACTCATCAAAATGTTTGACATATTTGACATTGTTGAAACATTCACAATGGTTAAGTACAGGCAAATAGATTAGTGGCTCTTCTTATAAATTCCTACCTGGGCCAAATTTTTAACAAGTTAAACAAATGTAGCACTTTGGTTTAATCACTTCATACACTCTCACATACACAAGCACACACAGACACACTCACACAAACAAACAAATACACATGCACACATACACATACACACGCACACATACGTATAACTAAACTAACTGGGATAGGTATTTTTTGTTCATATATTCAATCATTTCATTGAAATATTTTCCATTGTTTTAAATTAAATTCGTCGAATTCAATTTTTTTAACATGATGTCATTTGTAAAATTATAAAAATAGAGCAAAGAGATTAAAAT